TATCCTGAGTACCCATGTGCTTGTATCCTGAGTACCCATGTGCTTGTATCCTGAGTACCCATGTGCTTGTATCCTGAGTACCCATGTGCTTGTGTCCTGAGTACCCATGTGCTTGTATCCTGAGTACCCATGTGCTTGTGTCCTGAGTACCCATGTGCTTGTATCCTGACTCTTTTCAGTTATATGCTCATGCACCTGAGTAATTTGAGGACATTTTCATTTGTCTTAACTCTTAATATACAGAACGCTGCTCCACAGTACCTAGTCAATTTTGTCATTCAGTTTTTCTACATCACAAATTATGGTATCACTCCGCTTCTGTTTATCTGTTTGTTCCAAACAAACACCAAACTTAGTAAGAAATAAATATTCCATGCAATAAGCATGCAGTTCGATTAACGACTAAACATATTTGCTATGGCATGCATGTCCGTCGGCTGAACTAGCATGTCGTATACAGGGAGTTAAATGAATCTTTAATATAAGGCATCCTTTCCTTATGTTCATGGCGCCTAGTCTAGCTAGTCTGAATGAGAGGAAGCTGTTTTGTGTCAAAGGAAATCAGAGCCTCAATGTACTTGAAACGTCAAATCATGAGACATGAAGTCACGTAACATAATGTGTATCTGCTTGGTCAGGTTGGCTTGATGACGGAAGTCCTCACGTGCATGAAGCTCATCAAGATGAATGGCTGGGAACCTTCCTTCATAGGACGAATCACCAGTGAGTTTACATCTCTAGAATCATAGCATTATTATCCTGGGAGGAATGTTTCCTCTCCTGTATGTGTGTGTGTGTATATGTGTATGTGTGTATGTGTGTGTGTGTGTGTTTGTGTGTGTATGTGTGTGTATATGTGTATGTGTGTATGTGTATGTATGTGTGCGTATGTGTGTGTATGTGTGTGTGTTTGTGTGTGTGTATGTGTGTGTGTGTTTGAGTGTGTATGTGTGTGCGTGTGTGAGTGTGTGTGTGTGTGCGTGTGTGTATGTGTGTGCGTGTGTGAGTGTGTGTGTGTGTGTGTGT